AGAGAGAGAGCGCGCGAGCATACAAATACTGGGGGTTCTTGTTTGTTTGCTTGCTTGTTTTTCAAAAAGAAAGAGTCAGATGCCCTTGTAGGTTATCACATGTTGCAAAGATAATTGGATGTAGAAGACCAAATAATGCTGTAAGACCAAATGCAGAGCTGTGATGCTCAGTAAAGATTAAATAACATTTCTGCCCCACTGAACGCAAAGGCACTGTGCTACCACTGTAATTGCCAAATAAAATTTAGTCTGGAGTGTTTATCTTTAGTATCTAAATAAAGTAGTTACTCAAGGCATTTAGATTTTTCTTCCAAACTAATTTTTAGAGGGAAAAACAACTACAGAGTTAACGCAACTCTTTTTCTCTGTTTCATATCTGTTTAAGCCAGACAGCATATAACACCACATGTTTTTGTATTGCTGAGGAAATGACTGAACTGTTTGGAAGCAGGGAACAAGTCCATTTGAAACACTGGACAAAAACACACACAGAGATTACTGAAGAAAAAAGACTGTACGTTGTGGAAATGGGAATAATTTCTTTAACTTCTCTGGTTCTTCATCCATGTGAAAGAAAAGCAAACAGGCAAATTTTACAGGAAGTAAAATACTACTGTTAAATGCACTATTAAATAACTGCACTTTTCATAACTGTGTTATCAGCTATGTAATAATAAATGCTGAAAATAAAACTACGAATCAGTCTGTTAGTGTGTAATTTAAGAGATATCAATGTTTGATTTCAGCCCAATATACTCGCTGTACAGTAAATAAAAAGACTATCCCATTTATCTTCTACTGAGATCATTTTGTACTAATATAAATATCCTGTGGCCTTTAGACCACTGCAAAACAATAGTGTATATTATCAGAGCCACTTCATATTATTCTGAAGCTCACAGGTATTTTACAGTGTGCTGTACATAGGAGATAAAAAACCTATCCTACAGTCATATCAGCCCAGACTCGGAGCCTCGTTTCTGGCAGAAAGAGACCATGAAGTGGCGAAATTTGGGCAGCACACAACCACTTCTCGGTAGCAGAGGAGTCTGCCAGGGCACAAAGCCACCTGAACACTCCTGCACCCAGGAAAAATTTCTGGCAATGCAGTGGCCCCGGAGGACACATGGCACAGACTGAATCTCCCCAGGGACTGTCCCCAGCCGCCCCAGCACTGACCCAAGGCTTGGGTGGCTGCAGGACAGGGAGGAGCAGGATGCCAGGACACTGTTCCCTCTGCCATGAGGGTCACCCCAAGCCTGTCCCTGCCATCCACGAGCATTAGCTGAAGGTCAGCCTGTACCTGCAAACTGGTCAGAACTGGGACCCCAACACCATGCAGGAGAGGAGTGACAGGAGGTGCTCCAGATCAGTCCAAGCCACTGGGCTCGTCTCTGTTGCTTACTGCTTGCTTGTTTTCCAGTGAGCTTTCACTTCCCCATCTCTGGAAGCAGAGGTAGTATTTCTCTATCACCATGACCAAACCATAAAACTACTCACTGGCCTTGTGGTTAGGGCCCTACTATGATGTGCATCATGCAAACCAGCTAAAAAGAAAGGAAAAAGCAGTTCCTGTAGATCTGCAGAGAGTGCAGAGGTGAAGAAGCCTTGGATGCAGCTCTGTGCTGCCAGATGACCCATAATCCACGTTGTCCCATCTACTGAATAATTCTGCTCTAAAAATGCCTGTGCACAACCAACACGAACCTCACCAGCAGGTCTGGTCTCCAAGGCTCTACCTTTCAAAGGCACTGCCTGCCAACGGGGTCTATCGATTGGGAAGGAGACACAGGGGCACCTTTGGAAATTGGCCTCTGCAGCGCAGCAGAGCCACGGCTCCTCACTGGACAGACAGACGGGCTTTTTTCCAGCGCCCCAGCTCGCTGGGCCCGCAGGACCAGCTGCCTGCAGGGAAGGAGCTGGACTCGTTTAATGCATCTTTAACAGTCATCTACCAAGCACGTGCCACGCCAAGGAAAGCACAAGAGTGTACCACATAACGCTGAGATAAACACCGACAACCTACAGCTACTTGTGAATTCCAAACACACCCTCAGGAAGGCCTGGGACCTTGCTCTGCTGCAGATTCACATCTGCAGCGTGCAGCTGATTGCCTCTGGAGCACCGGCGCTCTGCAGAAACGCATGCCTGACTAACAGCAGTTCGGGCCTGTACAGAGCAAACAGCCTTGGGGCTCCCCGTGCCCCACGCACCCCTGGAGGCGAGGGACAGCCCCAGAGTCTCCAGCGACCTTCGCGGTCCATCTCCGTTCTTCTGGTCTCAAAACTGCATCTTTCTGCTTCTGTTTAGCATTTTTCACACTCTTCCACACTGGAAAAGGCAAATCCAGGGTCTGCACTGCTGTTGTGAAGCGGCACAGCATCGCCCACTGATGTGCTAGTACCAACTGATGCTCTCGTACCAAAGCCATAGTCTAGCTGAGCCCAACTCCCCCTAACCTGGTTTACAAGCAAGGAGAGCAGAACTGACCTGAGCAGGCAAAGCTCTTCCTCAGGATCTCAGCAAGACACGCAATACCCACCCACGCTCTGAAACCCCCTCCCTCAAGTGCCAGCTAAAGACAGATAAAAGAGTGAACTAAAAAGGAAAGACGGGAAAAATCCACAGACATTACTTGCAACTAAGATAGTTAAAACATTTATCAAACAGAAATATGAGTGAAAGGATCCTCCTGCTTTGCTTACCAAATTAGAGTCTCTCATTAAGTTAGCTCACTTACTTTTATTAAAGCATAGGGTATTGATTTTTGTAAAACAAAACAAACTGACTGAGGCATCGTTACGATGAGATGATATAAATCACTTGCTAGAACACCCTGAAATAACATCCATTTCAACTGTGCTAAAAAGTAAAGTCATTTTAAGGCCAAATGAGTAGGATGACATCCATTTGGAAACACTATTGCTGGGACAGCCAATGGGACTTCCTATGAATTCTCATATTGAATGAGACTGAATTCTGAAAATACACAGTCTGTAATGTTTGAATTCAAGCAAACTATACAGAAATTACCCAGGCTCAGGTAGAAGGTTTGTGCTGCACTTCAGAATAAACTGGCTTAAATTTTGCTTGTTAGGAACAGTGTGAGTGTAGCATAAAGGAGAATTTAAATTTCATTTAAATGTTATCCTCACACTTGCCCCTCTGTATTAAAAAAGAATGTTAATCCAAAGGACTGCATTAATATTTTTTTTCATGTTTACCCAAATGGTGGTGGTGTGTGCCTACGCACTGCTTTGCATAAACCCAAGAGAGCCGTATTTGGTTACAATTCATGAAACAAACAGGTTAACAGAGAAGAATATTTTAGGCAATGGTTCTTACTGTTGGCTGCATCTTGGCTTAAGCTTTCTCGTAGTCCCAAATATGAACTTGCTGGCACTAAAGCTGTATCACTGTACTCAAATCAGGAAATAAAAATAAAATTGTGGCATTTGCACATGGCTGTTTTGAGCTGTTGAAATTGAAAAATCATTTTGAGATTGTTCTGGAGTTAAAGCACGTAACATACAGCTTTTGAGCTGCCCAGCTGTACAGACACTTAATTTTGTTTCTGATCTGAAAGCCACCAGCAGCAGACACCAGCCCAGAGGCAGGCCCATTTCTCCTACAAGATGGGAGTAAGGAGCAGGCTGCACGGCGCGGTGTCGGGGCATCCCCTGCAGCACTGCGGTGCCACAGCATTTGGTGTCTGCGCGCTGATGCTGCCTCAGCTCTTCTCCTTGCCTAGGTGATACAGACAATTTTATTTAAAGAAAAGCCAATCAAAAGAGAGAAAACAAAACGTGGTCTCTTCTCACGCTGTGCTGAGAGGTACTAAAGTCAATTTACTGTGACGATCCTACCACAACGATTTCTGCTTTTCTCCCCCACATACACTTTTTCTTGAACTAGCCGAGGCATAAAGCTCTGAGGGAGAATAACAGTTACATTAAGTGAATCAAATAAGCTACAAAATATTTACTGGTATTCTGTAGACCCACAAAACATGGGGCCAAATAAACATCTGGCACAAGTATGAGAGTCCTTTCCACTTGAGATGATTTTTCCTAAGGACTGAGCTATATTTTGAGGACTATTATTTGTTGCTATGGTTTTTGAAATAAAAGTTGAAGAACTCATCTAACAGAGTGAATATAGGTTTCCTAACAGAAAGTATCTAGAGGTAAATTAAACTCCCTAAATTCTACCTTTGCCAGCAAGAAAGGAATAAAAGAACTATCAGAGAAGTGCTAATGCAGATATATTTATTTTATATATATATTTCAACTTATTTTTTCCTTTGCTGACATATTACCCATTGAAAGAGAGAGCTTCAGCCAGGGGAGCGTTGTTTGCCTTTTTATGTAGAATATACCAGCCTTGCTCATATATTAATCAGCGCCAGTCTTGCTCATACATTAATCAGTACCTTCTAATGTCTGATCTAGAAGTTTGTATCAAAAGGGTTCTGGGCCAAATTTATCCATAGGTTAGCTCAAATGACCTCTCTGGATTGCATTAGAGAGGGATCTGGCACAGGGTGTTCAGCTCCCAAACACATATGTGCATCACAGGTTGATGCCAATCATCTTTACATTTGCTGAAACGACAGGTTACTGCAGAGCAAGAAACTCAGCTACAGTGTTTGACTTTGTGGAACACTGCACTGCGCACGCTTACTCAGGTATAAGAGAAACAGATATGATGTAATATATGCTCACATTTTACTGTGACCAGACGAGAGATTTCTGATAGATTCTCCTTCCCCCACCCCTTGGCTTTTTGTAGAAATCATGATTATCTGTACTCCTTCTTCCTGCCAAGCCTGAGCTGTGGATTGTGCAGGTCAGACTGACGTGCACCCTACATCACTCAGGGCAAGCTTTCTGCTCTGCCTGACAACGTGCTGTAAAAACCAAAGTCCAATTCCAGCAAGTAATTTCCTGATAAGGTTCCCCTGAGTGAATGGAAAACATCCAACGGGAATCTTCTCAAGCCCAGGAATTTCCTAGAGCACATGAAATTGCAAAGGAAATGTCTCTTTATGAAAATCCCATGCAGATCACTCACTTTCTTAATTTTAAGAAATAAGTTGCAAAAAATGATTTAATTAATTAAATTAATTAGATTAACGATATTATTTCAGGCAAGGGAGAATTAAGCAGAACAAAGACATACAGACCAGCATTTCATTGTATTGGATTTCTCTACCAGTTACTGACGTTTGTGGGATTCTACAGGCACGTAAGCACACCTGCTAACTTACTTGAACTACGACTCATTGCACTCATTGATTGAAGCCAAAAAGTGTACATACCACAGGCTGCAACGGGGCACCAGGCATCATGGCATTGGCAAGCTGCATCTGCTGGGCCAGCATGGCCATATTCTTCTGCTGAATCAGGTTATTGCGTCCATTTATCTCCAGCTGCGTTTTTAAGTGTGGTGGTGGGTGAAGATATTTGCAGTTTTCCCTTGAACATCGACCCTGAAGAAGAGAATTGACACAATTGGCTTAGAAGCTACAGGCATATCTTTGTTCCTTATGTCATTGGCTAAAACAACACCCTATGGACCTAGGAGGAAAGCCCCCAGCTACTTCTCTAGGCTATCACATACTGACCAGAGCAACTTGACAATTCTAGCATCAGCTGCTTGCTTTGCTTTTTCTAAACAATGTATTTCTGCAGTACAACTCTAAGAAACACTGCTTCTTTTTAAAAATTGCTGAAGGCGAGCAAACATCAGTTGTTTTGAAAGTACAGCATGCCCATCCTCTATGGGCATATGTTTTTGCTCAGTGAAGCTATGCCCATGGGGACTCAACAGCTCCCTGCTGCCCACAGAGCTGCCTCCAGGAACCAGGCGGCTGCAGAGCCAGAAACCCAGCAACAGAAATGCAGCCTGGCTGCAGCAGTGAGCCTGCAAAAGCTCACGTGCTACTCTGAAAATGTTAAAGGCTTGCTGCTCTTTCTGCTGTGCAGGGGCACAAGAGGCCCTGAGCACACAGCGAGACGTGTGGTCAAAGCAGCATTTATCACCAGGAAAACAGCAACAGCTCTGGGCTTTCACTAGACCTGGAATACAGCATCTTTGAAGAAAACCTTTTACATATGATGCGTTTTTGTTGCAACTGTGTAAACCAAACAAGAAAATCTGAATTGACTTGTTTCTACATTTTTCATTAAATTCAGATGTGGTAAACAACAAATTTCATGCACTAATTTTATTTGGATGAAAGAACATTCATCAATGAGACAACTATTCACATCAAGAAATAATAAAAAATAATTCTATGTACAATATATATCCAAACCCCACTGTCCCTCCTTGTTACCACGTAAGCGAGCTTTGCACATATGACAACCCTGCTTGGTGAACTCTCTTAACGCAGTCTCTTGCTCTGGGTGCCCCCACCTGCAGGCCCCAGCTGGGAGCGGGGCGGCTGGTGCTCGGCAGCACTGGGTGCTTGATGGGGAAATGGGCATGAACGTAACTTCTGAAAACCAGCCCCAAGACCCCCCAGCTACGGCTCCACTGTAAAAACCTCTAAAACAGAAGGCTCAGCCTGAGCGAAGGGCACTGCCTGCACAGCCGCTCAGCCACCGTGTGCAGCAGAGGGAGGCCGGGGAAGAGAAATCCCTTCTCCTGGGGAAGAGAATCCCCTCTTCTCATGGTGTGTGAGCTGTGATCTCACATGCCATGAGACTTCAGAAAATGCAAATTTAATACAGAAGCTCTACACACTAATCATTCTTTAAAATTATAACACAGGAGCCCATATTTCACTGAAGGGATGGTAACAATAAAAAAACCCCCAAAACAACTAAAAAGGAGAACTGAATCCTTGTCTGGAAAAAACCAGATTCCTTAAATTACTTTTTTTTTTTCCTGTACTCATTCATCTTTGAAATAAATCCAAACAGGAACAATGACAAAGCAAAAGAGCCTTAATTTAAGCAAGAAACCATTTTTATCAGGAAACAAATTAATTCAATACTGTTTGACCTTATACTGCAATTTTGCTCAGAAAGCTAAAATGTATTCTTGTTACAAGATCTGCCAGAAATCTAATTTGTATGATGATTTTTGTCTCCCCTTAAGGCTGGGATAAACGGTTTGCTGCTGCCTCCTCCCAATCAGTCTCTCCTGCTGGCAGTCCAAAGTTCTTAAAACTCATTTTCATAGTTATTCAACTGACATCTGAGTGATCCTTGCATAGGAAGATACAGCTGATACACAGAAAAATACGTAAAGTTTTGTGGATATCTTTAGGCTACCCACCAAGATGATGGAAAGCCCTATGTATATGAAGACCACTACTGTAATGAACAGCAAAGTTCGTTCATCTTTCAGAGCACCCGTTCATAATCCCTAAGCATATTTCCTTGAATGAAATGTATTTTCCATTACATGATCCTGTCTGCTCCAGAGACAACACAGAAGAGCTGAGCGACTGCTGCCAGGCACAGCGGGAAGGCGCAGATGAACAGAAAGCCCAGCGCAGGCAGCCCCGGCACTCGGCCGTGACCGTGCTCCCTGCCGCCATGCTGGCCCCGGGGCTGCAGGCCTCAGTCTGCTCGGTTTTGGCAAGAGTAAGAGGGGTCCCCCAGGCCCTTTGGCATGGGGCCTTCGCCTTCCCCTTATGCAGCCCTGTGACAGGGCTCCTGCAGGCGTTTGCTCGTTGGACTGAGGGGCGCTATGGTCTGTCCTCAGCAGAGCTGATGCATGGAAAGGACCACTGAAGTCACTTGCAAGAAAATCTCCCTAGTAACACAGCTCCAAATGTTGGAAAGCAATCAAGACAGGGGCCAGATAATGCAGAAAAGCTAAAAGCACAACGTCTATACTCCAGATAAGATGGAGGGGGGGAAAAACATGTGCAGCCTGAGAAAATATTTTTACAGGGGAATGGAGCTTCCTACTGCAAATAAGGATTAGGCTACTTCAGTAACAAACATTAACGATTCATAATTAGAAAAGACAAATGGATGGTGACAACAGGAATCAGTGTTGACGGAGCGTGAATTTTATACGTGTGTGCATATATGCATCTGCTGGTTGCTGATCCACTGGTGGGAGCTCCCCGGGACACCTCCAGCACCGCATGGTGAGAGCAGTGGGCAGCGGCTGGCAGGGTTGCACCCATCCACGTCTGTGGGGACCAAAGCCAGCACCCAACAGCACGGAGCAGCGGCCAGACCTGCGCAGGAGTGGACCAGCCGAAACGATGCATGGGACATCTCCCACTCGGCTCATCCATATGCTTGGGGAAAAGCATGCTTTCAGCCTGGGGGGATGCTCTCAGACAAAATGACCCTCAGATCTCTCCTTTAATTCTTTACTGGGAACACAGTTCAGTATTTAAGCTGTTTTGCACAAATAAACCAACCTCATTTCAGCACCGCCCCCCAAAAGCATTTCACAATTATATGAAATGGTAGGTAAAATGCAAGCACTTTGGAATAGTTTGCTTTATGTCAATTTTTCTCTTGATACTAAAACCCATGTTAATTGTTGCTACCACTAAGTAACACAGCAAAATTACACATTTACTAGCTGCCTGGAAGATGATATCTTACGTTAGCACAGTGTAAAAATCAGACTTAATTACTGCTAAATGAGTAACATGAACCTACAACATGTGTTGCTGGAATCAGAGAGCAGCAATTAACAAACCTGATTCTGAAATGCAGATTGAACTCAATGTCCTTATTCCAGAGATGGGGTTTAGGCCGCTCCACACCTCTCCAGACTGGATCCAAAGACTGGATCATAACCGCTTCAGGTACTTCATAGACTCAAACACTTTATGGCTGGAAGAAACCATTCCAGTGATCTAACGCAATGTCCTTAGGCTCTGCTGTTTCCCCATCAAGGCCATCATTTCTCTTTGCTTAGCAGCTGATCTTTAAGGAAGACAGTTTACTCTGAGCTAAAGACTACAAGAACATACCACATCCCCAGGTAAACTGTGCTGATACTTAGTTATCGTTAGCTACTATCAAAAAGTTTACATTTTTCTTGTTTGTATGTTGCTTTGGAGTCTAGTGCAGCATTTAACTTTCAACCTTTTTGAATTTTCAGATCCTAGCAAATTTTCCAAAAGAAATGCAGACTTCTCTGTTTGGGAAATGGCTTTCTTGCCTTACTTATATTCCATAGACCTTCAAAAATGGTCCACAGGGTGCCCAGAAGTCAGAAATCGCAGGCTGAAAACCACTGTCAAAAATCTCGATCAAGAACACAGACTGCATTCATCTCCTTTATACTGCGAGCAAGTAGTTTCTTAATTACCCTTTCACTAGATTCTGTTAACTTCAGTCAACAAAGTTTAAGGCAGATTTTCATCTCTGAACCTTTTCTGAACCCTTTGCTGTTTCATAAAAAAAAATCATGAAAAAATGATACTATAAGCAAGTAAATTCAGAGAAGCTGAAGTTGAGCACACTCACAGTGTCCTGAAATGCTGTACCAGCATGCCAGTACGGTTTTACCAGAATCCTGGTGGACTAAAAGTTATTAAAAATGCTCCTGAGGCTCCTCAGGCATGCTCTGCAGCAGAGGCCGCCCACAGACCTCTGGTGCTTCGAGACAGACGGGACAGGGCCTCCCCCATGGGCAGACCAGCAGGGAAACTTGAGGTGCACAGCATGATGGGGAGTGGGGGGAACACTCACAGAGTGATGGGATATTTGGACAGAAACCTGTTGCCAAGATCCCATGTTTACTTCTGCACTCCGGACTCCTGCAGGAAGAAGCCCGGCTCTTGCTCACACCACAGCCGACAGCCGGAGCGGCAGCTCCCCG